GCCGCGCGGCGCTACTGACGTCTGTCGGCGCACTCTGACCTCTCCAACTCCAACCACTTTCATTTCGTCTTCACCTCTTGTCTCCGCTTTATCATCGTTGATGATCACAGCATCGCAGAACACGAACTTTACTTCTGCATTGCCTAGAGACCTTATCTGTATAACAAATGGATATAATTTTAAATTCCTTGACATATTTCAATCATCACCAACTTCGGTATTAGATTACAATTGCGCAATGATACAGGTCAAGGAGAGGGGGGTAGCCTTGTTACCAGTTATCTTGTCGTACCAATAGATAACTATGAACTTTCAAATAATTTTTTAACGAAATTTTAAAAGTTATAATTATGAGTGAGTGTTGTATAATCAATGTTGTGTAATTCAAACTCAAATCTAATTAAAAGAGAATTATTTCAGGACAGTTGTAATACTTAAATGTCCATTGAGATATAGATTATTAATCTTGTATAACAATAAATTTGTGTGAAGAAGTTGTTGATAACACGAAACAATTTTAGCTGTGATATAGATGATAAGTAAAGAGAACAACGCTCCGAGCTTGTGACACCAAGATAACTTAACAATCAGAGCGTCACAAAGTTTGGGTATATGACAATTAAATCCATCGACCCAAATCCATAGATCCACTAAGACAGCCATGTACATCGCATACTTTTTACAACATCTTGAGGATCCGTTTCAATTTAGTATAACAAAACTTACAAAAATCTTAGTTCATTAGTCGAAGACATTATCATGTCTCACCTAAGTTTAAAATTTAAAACCGTTATTAATAATTTCGCAATAGCAAATAATTTTCGCATCGCTGTAAATGTTTTAACATATTACTAAAAATAAGTACTTAACATTGATGCTTCAAATATGCATCTAGACATGAAAATCTAAGTTACCAACAAAGTATCGACCTAAAGTAGACAATTAAGCAAAGAATGATTATGGATTATTATAATGGTAAATGTTAGCACAAACTGATTTAAACTCTTATCGAAACATCAGTCGTACGCTGGGCTATTGTAATGTAGATGAAAATATACCTTATAGACAGCCGGTGGCGCTTCGATATCGGAAGCTTGCAGGAGGCCGCATGTCAAATCCGTTTCGTCGTTGGGTCCATCCGTCACCGGCCATGCGACACACAGGTGAGAAGGTTGTTTGCAAAATATGTACGTCTGCAATAATAAACATATTTTATATGCTACTTACTGCACCTTAAATGACATGGGTTCCTATAGTATAAGCTAGAATGAAAACATATAATAAAAGGAGTGTCTGTAATATCAAAAAAAAATCCAGATTTCGGGAAGAAGATGTATTTGCGTTGCTGATAACGAAAATCTAATTTTTTTTGTCTGTCTGACTGTCGATTTTGACCGGACTTTCACTAAAGGATAACTAACTTAGATGGGCATATTTGAAGGCTACTTTTTTATTTTAATACTGCGAGGTCGAAGTCGCGGGCAACAGCTAGTTTTCAATATAATAGGACAATGATGAATTTCAACGCCAGCAAAAGGATTTAGGATAATTCTAGTTTTTAAGCAAGGGTATAATTGATATAGTGACCTGATTTTCAAGTGATAGGTGCCTGGTGGTAGTTGCGGCGGCAGCAGCGAGCAAGGCTAGCAGGGGCAGCAGTAGCAGTCGCGGGCGAGACGCGCGGGGCGCGAGGGCACGCGCGGGAGCTCGCATGCCGTCGGTGTGGCTGGCGGGCTCGGTGTGCGCTGCCGGCGCGCCGCACGCTGCGCCCGCACCGCCTGACCCTAGGACCCGAGATGAACTCGCCAGAGATATAAGTTCACCCACCCAATTTCGGCGATAGCAACTAATTCTGCTATAGTCCGTGTGCGCACACTAGGAAGTGATGATAAGCGATTGTGATTCAAGGATTGTATCGCTCTTATTCGTGGCCTAATTTTTACAAAGTTCGCAATTTGATATTGTTCTTACTTCATTAAGTAAACTAGTACATCTATAATTTCGTATATCAAAATCATAGATTTGCATTGTCCTGATATCTATAAGTACATAATGAGGATTTAAAGAAAAAAGAAGCTGACGACCATCTTGGCACGATACGACACCTATTTCATGAAACAGAATTTCTGGCATTATTATGTAAATTTATTCGTATCTTCTTATAGTAAGGATTCGCTAAAATCATTTGTTAGGTTGCACACATAAGGTGCATTATTAATTGAAACTTAATTAATGAATAAATAAAACAATTAAAACATTCAATTCATGTTTTTATTAATAAAACTTTAAATAAACGAATAAAAAGCATTTGGTGCGAGCGGTCGCCGCATTCGCGACCGGACACACTTAACAATATTACATCTAACTTCACATATTCATGCTTTATTACTATGTAATATTAAATAAAACATTATTAACTAAATTTATTCATTACATTTTATATTTAACTGGCTGAATAATAAATATTCTTAACATGGTTGTGCGTTTTCTATCTTGTGTGTTTAGGCAACATGGCACTAAGTGTTCTTAGTAATTAGGCATGCAAGTAAATATATATTGAGCAAGACTTGCTAAACAGTCTTTGAATAACGTATGAATAATATAATTATGTTAAAATACCAAAAACTATTAAAAACACCTTCGTTGTGAAAACGGACTTTTCATAATGGACTCGAGTAATTTTAATCTATATTAGTGGTACCCGACTTCAAATTTTATTTCTAGACTACCACAACTAGATCTTGATCTAGACTTCTAGAGAAAATTATTGTTGCTTGTTTTGTTTCGTGGTGAACACTGCTTTTCAAAATCCACTTATTAGCATTAGAGTCAATTAAACACCAACAATATCCTACCTCTTACGCTATTCACGCAAACCGAAATGTATTACTTTATTTCTTTACTAATTTTTCCTTCTCATTCATCTATTCCTTCCATGATTTTCTATCTTCCGTATCGGGGTTATATGTAAATATCTAATGACAATCGACTCTAGCCGCTGACTAACTTACATTAAAACGTTACATCACTATACGTACTAAATCGATTTTAACTAACATTTAGGCTTTAAATTGAGCATTGTGCGTTTCCATTATTGCTTACAGTCTAGTGATTTCAGAGCTAACGGCAGCATTCTTCTTCTTGTAAGAGTGCGTGGGGTAGAGGAACCTCTGCGAGTAGTAACCGGCGGTGCACGGCTCCGCGGGGCTGTCGGCGGGCCGCGCGCGCCTGTGGCACTCCCCGCCCTCGGCGCACTCGCAAGCCAGCCGACTCTCCGACCCACCACTCTCTAGTGTATACTTAGGCACAACCATCAGACTTTCTTGAGACTTAGTAGGTTGGAAGTGACTTCGGCTCCGACTGTACACGGGGTAGTGGTGCGGCGTGCCGCTCTGCCGCTGCTGGTGCTTCTCCTGCGCATGCTGCTGGTACTCGTGGTGGGTCTGTGTGCTGCGCCCGCTGTGACTACGCCCGTGGCTCTTGGACCTATTCGACTGTTTGGCGGTCGTGTCGAGATAGCCATAACCGAAACCATATCCGCCGAATGCTTTCGTCGTCAAATTATCCCACGATTTGGGCTTGACGTGCTGGTGAGAACTCTGATACTGTATCTTCGGGGAGGATTTAGCCTCGGAGCGATCGTTGTCCCAGAAGAGCGTATCGCTACTGAGTGAGGTGCTATAGCTGGAGGCGGAGTTGTCGCAGGGCGCGGTGACATCGCTCGCCGTGTACGACTGCAGGCTGCACCGACTAGTCTGCGTCGACTCTGTGGTCAGGTAGCGATAGCGGCCGGAACAATGTCCCGAGTTGCACGTTTTCTTCGAGTGCGTGTGACCACAACTCTCTGTCTTTTGTGTCGACTTATCTACTTGCTGGCATTTTTCTCTCCTTTTGTGCTCCTTTGAACATTCCTTTTTCCTTCTTACTTTCTTCCTAGAGTTAGGGACGCAATGTGGATCGCAACACGGGCTAGCCAGGTCGTACGCTTCGAGACTGTTGGCGTCCTGGTTGTTGTAAGGCGGCATACAAGCTCCGCAGCCGTGGCTGTGGTTGTTTCTGTGGACCTTGCCATGTTTTCCGTTGCTGGTCGTGTAGACTTCGGCTGCTCGGTGAGACTCGCCCGTCGTTTTGATGACGCAGTGGTGGCAATCGCGTCTGTTGCGCGGCGATCCCACGGTGATGACGAAGCTGCCGGTGCGCAGGTCGGGCCGGATGATGCAGGTGCCGTACCGCGGATCCAGATACCGGTACATAAACACACTGCCGGCGGCCGGCTTTGCGTTCGTTACATTCTCGCTGGACAGCGTCGGCCGGCAGTATCCGCCGTTTTCGGCCACGTTGTTCTCTTCGCTATCCGAGGTGACGTCCGATGGTGATGATTTTTTTTTCTGCGACGGTAGACTGTGCGTCTTCCAGTTGGAGTCGAGTATTTGTCTCTCTCTGACGTTGAGCTGCTCCAGTTCTCGCATCTTGGCTTGCAAAGTTCTCTGTATATTAATGTATTTGAGATGAAGTTCGACCTTCCGCACGCAATCCTCAAAGATGACGACGATGCGCATCCTGGTGTCGCAGCTATTAATGGCGTCGACGATGGCGGCGTGGTCGGCGTGCTCGACGTCGATGCCGTTGATGGAAAGGATGACGTCACCCTCGCGCATGCCGGCCACCGCCGCTGCCCCTTCCGCCTCCACCTTCTCCACGTACGTTATCACCTCAATTTCTTGCTCCTGAAATATATTAAATATAAATATTAATACGTGAAGTGCAAACTATTTCACCTTTTTAATCATGCCCAGACAAAAACGTATACTTTCTGACCACATTTTTTAAGCTAAATACTGTTAAGCACATTTACCTTCTTGTAGTGTATGCCGTAGCTCTGCAGGGTGAAGCCGTAAGAGCCGTTTTTCTTCTCGACGATGATGGTGCGCCGCCGCCAGTCTTCTTCGCCCTTGCCGCGCTCACACTTTATCGACTCCCTTATCTGTAGCACAGCATTATTCTTCTTACATTACACATATAGCTGAAATTCGCTACGTACTATACCCAATTTTTTAAAGCGTTAAAATGTGGATATTTGTGTATTAAAATTTTACAAAAATCTCAGTGTAAAACACAGGCATTGAATTTAAATAGTGCATTATTTAGTTGATACACGTTCACAATTAACAACGAAATAAGCGTGGGAAATGCATGAAATAGTCATTGGTTTTTCTAAGAGAGCATTTTTACACTAAAGATTGCCCAGGGCCATTGCAATTTGTATGCATGCTTTGTGCAGTGCAATGATGCCGTATTTTTTGTGTATACTTACAGAATTATCTAGGGAGTCCTCTTTTGAGTCGTTGGTGAGCTTGGCATTCCCCAGACCACTGGGGCAGCGGTCGCCCAGCTTAGGGGAGCTCATGACTCGCGGCGGCGCGCCCGACCTCGACTGACGGCCCACGCAACACTGCTCAGCGCAACATATTCATATAATTTGCATTTTATACACAAAGCAATAAGGTGGTGATCATTCGATCACGTGTCCGATGCCAGGGCGAGATGGAATAAGGAAAATTGCGCGCGCACATCACGCATGCGCCTTAAGGATGGTACCATTAAGGCTGCCGTAGACAGAACAATCCAGCAGTCGGCGCCAGCTTCTCCGAACAGTTGCCGTGTTACGGGTAGCTCCTAATAAATGCTACCAGTAAAACGACAACTGTTCGAAGATGATGGTGGCGATTACATGAGAATATGTACTATTCGAGAATCTAGCGGTGTTCCACTTTAAAAACTACCGTTTCGTTGGAACTTTTTATACGCATTAAGTCAACGGAGCGGAATAATATACAATTAAAAAGCTTTATAATGTCTACATCCGAAAAAAAATGCCCATCAGTGATACACGGCTAATTGCTTTTTATTATTATCTCGTCATTTTAGTAAGACGCTGCTACCTAATTGATTATTTTTAAGAAGACACGTATTTTTTCTTATTGCAAGGAACAAGAAAAATTTTCATTAAGTGGAACTCCGCAAAATTTCTTTTATTTTATGAAACAAACGCACTATAAGTATTTAGCTGCTAAATGCCGTGTCAACTTTTTTGATGCCCATGATCACTGCGCAAAGCGTCTACTCAACCCCCATATCCCTGCTGCGTAGAAGCTTGCGTTCTACGCATCGACTCGTGCGATGTCCCGAGCCTCCAATTATAACTAAATTGTTGACCGACTTCCCAAATGAAGGAGTTACTCAATTCGTCTGTATGTTTTTTTTATAATAACTAATCATGAACGATTAATTTTAACCACGTATTTACATTTTGTTTTAAAACTAAAATACTACTAAGGCTCGGTATTTACAAAAAATGTATTACAATTATAATTGTAAACTTACCCCTAAACGCTTAAAAATGTCGAACAAATTATTTCTCTGCATAATCAAGGCGGATTTTAAAAATTACACTCAACTATAATATATTTTCCCTTACACTAAAATAAATATTAATGGAATAAACAAGGTATTATTGACCGTCATTGAAACCCCGATCTTTTTGTTAGTATAACGTATTAAATGAACTTGCAAAGCCAAATAAGCATATTACCACAGAATAGGAAGAGAATATTTTTTCAATAATACCTACAACTGCTAAAGTTAGGGACTACAGGTTAGATAATGTTTTGATTGTCGTAAACAATTTTGGAATACCTTCAGGTATATTTAGTCATAACAATTTATTACTTTTAATCAATTTAATATTATCCGTCTCACAATGTTCATTTGTTATTTGTACGCGTAATCATTCAAACTTCATTTCGTCAATTTTGATAAAAAAATCGATATAAATTATCACAACGCTTAATCGTTTACCACCGTTTATAAATTGCAAAATTTTACAAAATTTGCCTTCACTACCATTTGGCGGAATTAACAAAAATGCTTAGTATTGTTAAGAAGATATCGGAGCTACACTAAATCATCAGCATACAGGTCCCATCCCTATGACATCTGTCACCTGTCATTCAGAAGTATTAGGAAAAAGCGCGCCATTCTGACGAGATCAGTAGAATTAAATAATGAAGTAGATATACGTTATTACAGTTATATTAATGTCTAAAAGTGTGAGTAACATACTTTATTTACTTACTAGTTAAAAGTTGCAAAACTTCCTCACTGGTATTCGTGATAAGCCCTAAGGTAAAAATTAGCCATCCACTTTTACTAAACATTACAGTGAGTTCGACATTTGTATTGACAAATCACTCTCTCTTACATTCAGTCTGATAAAATACAAACATATCTGATAACCATGACTGTCGAAATAAGTCGAAAACAGTTGTAATTCTTATTCAGTTTCCAGTATAATAAATAACGCGAAAGGAATATAAAACACAGTTATGTATCATTTATTTTGAATAATATGCCAAAGCGACGCCGTTTGCGAACAGCTAGTATTAACATAAACTTTGCAGACTTGACCGATTTTGATAACACAAACATTAATATCAAATTGAGTACAATCGTTTAAACGGAAACGTTTTAAAGGTGATAAAAAATTATGATTCAGCTATGACCAAGTTGGTTAGCGTGGTGCACTATGGCCTAGTCACCCTTAACTTAGGGTAGGCTCCGAACGCATCGGTGTGATCGAGCTTATAAGAGCTGGTGATGATGACTTAACAAAATATCTCCCATCTTTCCTTAAATATTTAGATAAGGCAACACTTCTTCTATCGCCGCTAATGTTCAAAACATGTCTTTGAATCTGTAAATGTATTTTTCAATTCCTACTATAATATAAACTTGGGCATATGGCACCGCGGATTAGGTGTAGATGGTCGACAAGTCACCAGGAATGTTACGCTATATCGAAAATTTATCAACCATGTGACAAATCAGCAGCCGTAGTTAATGTAATTAGTGGTGTTAATTAAGTACCAAATCGTAAAACGTAGTCACATAAAGCACACGCCATTTGCAGTGTTGTTGTTTAAAATGTACATTTATTTATACACTCTTGTAGCTCTGGACGTCTTGCTCCCTGAGTCAGTTTCCGCTACACGACATTGTTTCGAATATTGTCGTTATGTGTAAGTCCGGCTAATATCTTACTATTATTATAAATACCTAAGTTTAGATGGATGGATAGATGTTTGTTAGAGTTTGTAGCCTAAACTATTGAACGGATCTCGATGAAATTTGGCATAGACGTAGAGGATAGTCTGCTTTTTTAATTCCACCCGCACTAAGTCGGAGTCGAAAACTAGTAATAAATAAATATAAAGTTTTATATGTTGATTGACAAATTATCGCTCAAACACCAACAATCCATGCGAGATAAAAGAGGGGATAAAATCACAACTACACTATACTAAATAATCATATATTTATAGAAACAAATTGATTTATAAAAATGTTTATGTTACATTGCTTCAGATTTTATACAAAGCAGCCGAACCTGGATCCTCGATGCGATTGCCCCGCAATAGCCGAGCTATTCGCAAAGTTCATGTCGCAGTCGCCTTCTACACTAGCTGATCATGAATCGCTGGCCTTTCCACAAAGTGTCTACAAACAAGCTGCTAGCTCTCCAATCAAAATGATACCTTACACAGAACAACGATATTTGGTACAGAAACCAACTTCCAAAAGCCCTTTAATGAAAGAAACAAATGAAATCAAAATAAACAACATTAATTCATCTGTAAAACGGCCGAAGAAAAAGAAATGTAAAAAACAAAATGATTCTAAGACAGATAAACTAGTTGTCGAGAAACAAAAGAAGTCTACAATACAATCTGACAAAGATCCCTTAAAAATACCAATGAGGAAATTGGATTCAGTTGTAGGAACTATGTTTGATCGGAATTATACCGTCCCTGTAGAATTAACCCAAACTCAATCGGCATACAGCTCAAATGTAAATGATAGTGATGGTGTACAAGATAACCACGGTCATGTGGACTTTCAAGAAAATAATACTTCAATTAAAGCACACAGTCCAGTTTTAAATAACCTCATTAACAGCATAGAAGATAATACAACGAAACAAGAAAGCGATTATCTCAAAAAACAAAATTCTCAGCTCACTACAAATACAACAGATCGCATAGTTTTATCAACTAAAAATTCTAAACCGACCAATGGAAATGACACAGAAAGTATACCTTTTGATTTTAAAATTCATAATGAGAAAGTCATTCCGACAAGACGAGATAATCCAATATCTACAACAATCAAAACATCAGAAATTCATAAATATTCAACTACACCAAGTTATTACGATTCTGCGACTTCAAATAATGATACAAATCGCGAAACATACAACGAACGTGAAATTCCACTTCAGAAAATTATAACAAAAGAATTAACAAACGGTTCTGTAATAAGCTACATTAATGGTACGGAAGATATACTAAATAACAAATTTATTAATGCAGATTCTTCTGATGATGATATATTTTCAAGAAGCAACATCGAATACAAAAATGACAAACCTCCACAGTTATTAACTAATTCGACCAAAAGCGAAACACGAAAGACACCAATCGCAGCTACTTTTAATTTTATTTTTGTTTCAATTCAAACTACGCTTGAAGAATTATCTGATGGTAAAATTATTTCATAATCTCTACACTATCTGTATTGAATTTTTAAGGAATTAAATATACAGCAAACGTTAGCATCTTTTTAACATTCCAATTTCTGCTTACAAAACCAATTAACAACGAAATTGTAATTTAATTTCCACATTATAAAAACGTAGATAAGCGACTTTGTCCAATCATCTGAATCAATATTTCTGAAAATGGAACTCCGCGGAAATCCCCGACAGTACAACTGTACTGCCGTATGTAGGGTCAACGAATTACAGACAGGAATTACGCGTTTACTTAAGTGCCTGTCCCACCAAATTGTAAATTGTCTGATAACATTCGACCGCGTAAAATATGTAATGGAAATATCGGATTTTGTTCCCTTCTGACAGTGACGTCATTTTTAAGCTATCTGAGCCTCTATTAGCCAGTGGTGGGACAGGCCCTAATTATACAGCTGTCGTAGATCCCTCCCCTGTGCACGTCCCCTGACGTGTACTTCATTCTCCCCGTCGGTCTAGTGTTGCGCCGCTACACCGGTTCGGTATTGATTTCTTCCTTAACAATATCTCCTGGATGTAGGAACAAATGCAATCAACTCTTGTTTTACTAATTAAAATATGGGAGTGTAAGGATTAAGTGAAACAGCCATCGTGGTAAGATATCTTTATTACAAATACTTAGACAATGTACCAAATATTTACAACATAACAAAAGTTACAAAAGGTTTTTCAAACATTTATTGTGGGCAAATAATTCACATCCGCTCTAAGGGATGCTCGGTAGCGACTTACACACTAACCCACACCCGCACGCCTCAAGTACAACCTACGATTGCTTTACAAATGACAATGAAAAACTAATTCCATTCGTAACTACTAAGCTAAAGAACCTTCGTTAAATAATAAATATAAACCGCACACCGCAAAGTTACAGGCGGCAACTCTAATTTTTAGGAATGCCTCGAAAATAAACTTTGTCTTATCGACTTAATTTGTCGCTG